CCTCCCCTGTCCCAGGCATCTTTTCCATGTTCGGCCTGGGCACGGTCGTCTCTCTCCGCCCAGCGCGCGACCACGCGCAGCGCTGCCTCGACTGGGTTGTGATCCGTGTAGGGTGCCTCTTGCAGGATGCGATTACCCTGGACATACCACAAGTCGCGGTTTGCCACAAAGATATAATCCGGTTCCGAAAGATAGAACACCTACTATTTTCCCAAAATACGGTTTTCGGAAGATAGAACATCTACTGTTATCCTCTAAGATAGAACATCTGACACCTGTAGCCTGTACTCATATATTTGTCTCTAAAAATGATTTTTACATGGTAATATGTAGGTGTGTCAAAGACAGAATAAACAAACTGCCACGGTTGGCAGGGTTCTCAAACATAGAATTAGAATTTCAAGTCGAAACTAGAACTTAAATGGGAATTCCTTTGCAAAGCATTTCAAGCAACAATTCACTGGAAATTCGATATGAAAATTGAATTTAAAAAGGAAGTCCTGTCCAATTGGGCCGTTTAATTGAATTTCAATTAGAATTTGCATTTAAAACCGAGTATAACAGGAATTCCTTTCCGAATATGTTTGCATTATTTTTAAAATGGAATTGGCATTTCAGTTCTGAATTTAGCGTTGATGATCAACGTGGAGCAAGATGAGGGAACAAAGCACCCGACAAGCAGCAACTAGTCCAATACTTGTCAATCTAGTCCATTTCTTGGGGAATCATGCATATACTCACCGAATTGCAGACTTGAACATGCGTACTCAGCTTCAAAATCAGGCTGCGTGTATGCTGTTTTTGGCATGTTCTATCTTGGGGAATCATGCATATACTCACCGAATTGCACTTGAACATGCGTACTCAGCTTCAAAACCAGGCTGTGTGTATGGTGTGTTTGGCGTGTTCTATCTTGCGGAATCATGCATATACTCACCGGATTGCAGACCTGAACATGCGTACTCATGTAAGGTGTGTTTGGCATATTCTTCTTGGGGAATCATGCATATACTATGCGTACTCACCTTCAAAACCCGGCTGCGTGTAAGGTGTTTTTGGCATATTCTTTATACTCACCGACTTGCAGACCTAAACATGCGTACATCGCACTCAGCTTCAAAATCAAGCGGCGTGTAAGGTGTTTTTGGCATGTTCTATCTTGGGGAATCATGCATATACTCACCGAATTGCAGACCTGAACACGCGTACGGCGTGTATGGTTTTTTGGCATGTTTGATCTTGGGGAATCATGCATATACTCACCGAATTGCAGACCTGAACATGAGTACTCATCTTCAAAATCTGGCGGTGTGTATGGTGTTCTTGGCATGTTTTATCTTGGGGAACCGTGCATATACTCACCGAATTGTAGACCTGAACATGCGTACTCAGCTTCAATATCAGACTGTGCGTAAGGTGTTTTTGGCATGTTCCATCTTGGGGAATCATGCGTATACTCACCGAATTGCAGACCGGAACATGCGTACTCAGCTTCAAACTCAGGCGGTGTGTAAGGTGTTGCTGGCATGATCTATCTTGGGGGACCATGCATACTCACCGAGCCTGATTTTGACGCTGAGTACGCATGTTCAGGTCTGCAATTCGGTGAGTATATGCATGATTCCCCAAGATAGAACATGCCAAACCACCTTACACACAGCCTGATTTTGAAGCTGAGTACGCATGTTCCGGCTTTGCATTCGGTGAGTATATGCATGGTACTCAGCTTGAAAATCAGGCTGCGTGTAAGGTGTCTTTGGCATTGTCTATCTTGGGGAAACATGCATATACTCACCGAATTGCAGACCTGAACATGCGTACTCAGGCTGTGTGTAAGGTGCGTTTGGCATGTTCTATCTTGGGGAACCATGCATATACTCACCAAATTGCAGACCTGAGCATGCGTACATCGTACTGAGCTTCAAAATCAGGCATCATGTAAGGTGTGTTTGGCATTTTATTCTTGGGGAATCATGCGTATACTTACCGAATTGCAGACGTGAGCGTGCGTACTCAGATTGGAAATCAGGCTGTGTGTAATGTGTTTTTGGCATGTTCTATCTTGGGGAATCATGCAAATTGCAGACCTGAACATGCGTACCTAGCTACAAAATCAGGCTGTGTTTCTATCTTGGGAGTCATGCATATACTCACCGAATTGCAGACCTGAACAGCTTCAAATTTCGGCTGTGTGTAAGGTTTTTGGCATGTTCCATCTTGGGGAATCATGCATAAACTTACCGAATTGGAGACCTGAACATGCGTACTCAGCTTCAAAATCAGACTGCGTGTAAGGCATTTTGGCATGTTCTATCTTGGGGAACCATGCGTACACTCCCGAATTGCAGACCTGAACAGACCTGAACATGCGTACTCAGATCCATAACTCGGCTGTTCGTAAGGTGTTTTTGGCATGTTCCACCTTGGGGAATCATGCGTATACTCACCGAATTGCAGACCGGAACATGCGTACTCAGCTTCAAACTCAGGCGGTGTGTAAGGTGTTTCTGGCATGATCTATCTTGGGGAACCATGCGTACTCACCGAATGGCAGACGTGAGCAACTCAGCTTCAAAATCAGGCTGTGTGTAAGGTGTTCTTGGCATGTTCTATCTTGGGGAATCATGAATATACTCGCCGAATTGCAGACATGAACATGCGTACTCAGCTTCAAAACCAGGCTGCGTGTAAGGTGTGTTTGGCATATTCTTCTTGGGGAATCATGCACTCGCCGAATTGCAGACGTGACCAACTCAGCTTCAAAAGCAGGCTGTGTGTAAGGTGTTCTTGGCATGTTCTATCTTGGGGAATCATGAATATACTCGCCGATTGCAGACATGAACATGAGTACTCATGTTCAAAATCTGGCGGTGTGTATGGTGTTCTTGGCATGTTTTATCTTGGGGAACCGTGCATATACTCACCGAATTGTAGACCTGAACATGCGTACTCAGCTTGAATATCAGACTGTGCGTAAGGTGTTTTGGGCATGTTCCATCTTGGGGAATCATGCGTATACTCACCGAATTGCAGACCGGAACATGCGTACTCAGCTTCAAACTCAGGCGGCGTGTAAGGTGTTTCTGGCATGATCTATCTTGGGGAACCATGCATACTCACCGATTTGCAGACCTGTGCGTACTCAGCTTCAACACCAGGCTGTGTGTATGGTGTTTTGCATCAATTCGGCGAGTAGATTTATGACTCCCCATGGTAGAATGTGCCAAAAACACCTTACACAGCCTGATTTTGACGCTGAGTACGCATGTTCAGGTCTGCAATTCGGTGAGTATATGCATGATTCCCCAAGATAGAACATGCCAAAACACCTTACACACAGCCTGATTTTGAAGCTGAGTACGCATGTTCCGGCTGTGCATTCGGTGAGTATATGCATGGTACTCAGCTTGAAAATCAGGCTGCGTGTAAGGTGTCTTTGGCATTGTCTATCTTGGGGAAACATGCATATACTCACCGAATTGCAGACCTGAACACGCGTACTCAGGCTGTGTGTAAGGTGCGTTTGGCATGTTCTATCTTGGGAAACCATGCATATACTCACCAAATTGCAGACCTGAGCATGCGTACATCGTACTGAGCTTCAAAATCAGGCATCATGTAAGGTGTGTTTGGCATATTATTCTTGGGGAATCATGCGTATACTTACCGAATTGCAGACGTGAGCATGCGTACTCAGATTGGAAATCAGGCTGTGTGTAAGGTGTTTTTGGCATGTTCTATCTTGGGGAATCATGCAAATTGCAGACCTGAACATGCGTACTTAGCTACAAAATCAGGCTGTGTTTCTATCTTGGGAGTCATGCATATACTCACCGAATTGCAGACCTGAACAGCTTCAAATTTCGGCTGTGTGTAAGGTTTTTGGCATGTTCCATCTTGGGGAATCATGCATAAACTTACCGAATTGGAGACCTGAACATGCGTACTCAGCTTCAAAATCAGACTGCGTGTAAGGGATTTTGGCATGTTCTATCTTGGGGAACCATGCGTACACTCCCGAATTGCAGACCTGAACAGACATGAACATGCGTACTCAGCTTCAAAATCAGGCTGCGTGTAAGGTGTGTCTGGCATGTTCTATCTTGGGGAATCATGCATATACTCACCGAATTGCAGACCTGAACATGCATACTCAGCTACAAAATCAGTATGTTTTTCTATCTCGAAGAATCCTGCATATACTCTCCGAATTGCAGGACAGTGAGTTTTTGCTTTTCCAGGGCTGGAGAGGGAATTGAGTAATCAGAGGGGGGTTCGTGTTATTCCCGGGGCCTAGCCGGGCTTGTCAGACCTTGCTACAGAAAACAAAGTAATAATAAATTTGCTGTTTTCGGCTAGCCATTTTTCCATGTCTGGAATGGCAGCCCTTGACTATGAAAGGAGCCAGCGTTGGCAAAGGCATTGGCAATTGCTTTGCTATTTTTTCTTTTATAGTACTCTTTCTCACGGAAAGCGGCCCGTTTAATCAAAAGGGGTTCTGGGAGGCGCCGCCCAAAACTTGAGAGGGCTTTGTTTGCCAAACCTTGCGGGCGCCTTTCCGGGCGTCGTTCATCAGAGGGGGTTCATTAGGCACGTTCCACATTTAAATTGAGGTTTGTCCTTCGGAGGAATTGGACGCGGCTCGCGCCATTTTAGGATTCTATTCTGCCGTTACACACTTACCTTGTCTCCAAACATAGCGCAATTTGCTGGTTGCTGACAGAGCTTTCCAAGGATGCCTGAGGCAACCTTCAGGATGAGGAAGCAAGAGTGGCGGGCATCATGTTGTTTCATTTTTAAAGACAGTCTTGTTGATGGGCAAAGAAGCGGTTGAAGGTACATTCATATTAAATGAGTTGCATGTAGACGCACAAGCGGCACCCGCGATCCTATTCATCACGGCTTCCTGCTATGAAGTTTAACGGCTTGGCACGCATGCCCCGGTGTTTTGAGTAGAGCCTTACAACATCTGGTTTCCTTATGAATTTGTTAGACTTCAGGACGCCTGCTGCTGTGCAGCTGGCTTTTGCGCGGGCCTGAGGCGCCAGGGTGGCCAGTCTCGCTGCGAGATACTAATCTGGATGTAGGCTAAGCGCCTGCAAGTAGCTGAGATTTTCTTTCATTCCCTCTCTGCCTCTCCCTCTCCCTCTCCGTCTCCTTGTTCGTCTCCCTCTCTCTCTACCTTTCTCTCTCTCTGTCTACCCCTCTCTCTCTCCTACCTCTCTCTCTCTTTCTCTCCACCTCTCTCTCTCTCTCTCTCTCTCTCTCTCTCTCTCTCTCTTTCTGTCTTTTTCTTTCTCTCTGTCTTTCTCTCTGTCTTTCTTTCTCTCTCTCTATTTCTCCTTTTCTTTATTTGTCTTTCTTTCTTTCTTTCTTTCTGTCTTTCTTTCTTTCTTTCTGTCTTTCTTTCTTTCTGTCTTTCTTTCTTTTATTTCTATATTTCTATATTTGATTCTTTCTTATCTCCCTCAATCTAGCCAAAATGGCAACGCGTGACATTGGCACATGAATGAAGTCAGCTCACCCACCTGCCCAGAGCACAAAGCTGATTAAGAAAGAGAGAAAAGTTGAAGTGCAAAAGGGTACAACAGAAAAAGAGAAAGAAAGAGAAAAAAGATAGCAAAAAGAGAAAGAAAAGCAGAAAGTTAGAGAAGGAGAAAGAGAAAGAAAGAGAGAGAGAGAGAGATAGAGAAAGAGAAGCACAAAGAGAAAGACAGAAAAGAGAGAAAGAAAGAGAGAGAAAGACGTTAAATTCAGACTCTTGTTTACTACAAGTGCAAGTGCTGCAATGTTAACACAAACAAACCTTGCATGGGCTCTTGATGTAGTGAAAGCTCAAGGCCTGCGGTCATGCGCAAGCTATGTAGTATAACACCGCATGTGCATTGACAGCGTCCCTCAGGTAAAGGATCATGTAGTATCTTTTCAACTGGAGTGGAAATGTCAGGATTGACAATAGTGATGAAAACAAATGTTGTTCACCAATGCTACTGTAGTGAGAAGAAAGCAGGTGTAATTCTCAGTAGCTCTGGCTGCTCAGGATTCTGTCTCTGACTGAACGGAGCTCGTGAGGTAGCGCGTGATGTTGTAACACCGCATGTAGTTTCATGGGTGGTTGCGCCAGTAGTCCCTGTGGGACTGGCGAAGGTCCTGTAGTGATTGGACCGTTGCGAGTTCGCTCATGTAGTTCACGATTTCCTGACCTGAGCCCCGCGTTCTGTTGTAGTCCTTGGTCGGGTTGACAGGCATCGTGATGCGTAGTTGCCTGGGTGTGTGTAGTAGTTGGCAGTGAAGTGCGTCTGAGCCGTGCGCGTTGGTCAACAAGAAGTGACCGTAGTAAGCTGTAGTCTTGGTGAGAATGCAGTGTGTGGCGCGTTGGACCGTGCTGTCGTCGAGGTGTCGGCTAGGGGTGTTGAGTAGTAGGTGATAGTCCCGCATGTAGCCGTTGGACAGGGTGTAGTGAAGGGTGAAGTCGTTGAAGTTGAAGTTGACCAGTGAAGCTCCTTGGTAGTAGTTCAAGCGAAGGGCGCAGTGGCTTCGAACTGAAGTTGAGTGACTGATGTAGTCACGGACAAAATAGTCCAGCGCGTTGTCTTTGAGTAGTTGTTGAACGTAGAAGTGAGATTGTAACGAGGATGTCGTCGTTGATTTGGCTGGTGGGTCAAGCCGTAGTAATGCCACAAATGGGCGTCTGCTGCTGGGTGCAACATTTGTAGTCGGTTGTTAGCTGGCTCATGAAGTTTGCCCGGTAGTGAGTGTAGTGGTAGGAAGGGCGTTGCTGGTTCTGCTGTGGCTGTGTTGTAGAAGAGGTTGATTGTAGTGGCATCATCTTGTCCTGCAGTGAGAAGGCAGTAGTTCTCAAAAATGGCGGAAGGATGTAGAATCTGGCGTACTGTGGTGAAGTGAGTAGCGCGGGCATGGCCCGTAGTAGGATGGTCTGGTTGACGCGTAGTTTGAAGTCGCTGGAGCTGTAGATGTCCTGTAGGTGTGCGTTGAGCGGCAGTGGTGTTGAGGTGTTCTGTAGTTGTTGGTCGTAGCGCGCCTGTAGTTGGGCAAAGTTGTGAACCGGTAGTTGAACACTCTCTGGTGTAGTGTAGACGACGTGCCAGCCTCGTCCTCAGCGATTGTAGTTGCGAAGCGGTCCACAGCTGTAGTCCTAAAATGAAGTCCAACTGGGGTGCCTAAAGTGAGCCTGTAGTCGCTAACAGGAAGCGGGCAGACGTGCCAAACAAGCAAACAGTCAAACAAGCATGTAGTGTTGACTGAAGCCGCCGATCATGCCGCCAAAAGTGCAAGCGACATTACATGTAGTTACTGGTACTTACACACCGAAAGTGTCATGTTACATGTAGCTGCTACATACAAAATGAGGAAGCCGTTGTTGTTGTAAAACAGTTGCGCTGGTTGTTCGTAGTGCTAAATGCGTATCCCAACGCTCTGAATGAGCCGGTGTAGTGTTTCCTTGCGATGTGTTTGGTAAACAAAGCTGCGCTGTTGTGAAGTGTGTTGATCTTGAGGGTTCTGATGAGGTCTTGTGTGTAGAGAAATTGGAGGTCGATGTGTTTTGCTCGTTTGCTTGTGCCTTGTCGTGTGGCAATGCTTTTGCCTGCTGTGGAGTCTGTGTGAATGCGCAGGTTTAGCTTACTGCAATTGTTTGTTTCGAGTAGGAAATTTCTGAGGTGTAGTCCCTCATTAACTCCTGTGCAAATTGCGTAGAGTTCAGATTCTGCTGAACTGTGAGTGCTATTGTAGCTTGTGCTCTGCTGCCAAATGCAACTGTCGTTCCAAGAAGATGATGTTGAAACCTGAAGCTGATTTCCTGGTAGTAGGGCATCTTGCGCAGTCAGCATCGGCATGAACGTGGAGATCCAGGACGTTGTTGGTGTTTGCTCTTAGTGTTGTTGTCGGTTCTATGGTGAACTTGTAGTGTTTGGCGCCGCGAAGGTAGCGTAGTAGGTGCTTGCTTGACCGTCTTTTGTGAAAGTTCTGTAGGCGCTATGAGGTCTCGCGCTAGTTCTTTTGTTGCGTAGGTAATGTCTGGTCTGGTGTATGCTAACCGTTGAAGTTTACCAGCAATTTGTCCGTACCTTTTGTGTTGTTCATGGCCGAGTCGCGCTTCATCCTCTGTTGTTGGTTTGTAGTGGGCGATTCCTGGAACAGTCACCCTGTTGCAGTTGGTCATTCCAGTCTCCTCGGTCATGTTGTTGATGCAGGAGCGCTGAAGTCCAAGAGCGCAGTAGTTGCCGAAGCGCTCGATGTTTCTTCCCAGGAGCTGTTGTGGTTTGCCAGGCTCGGGGTGGCCAATGTGCTTGAGTAGTCCCTGCTTCTGGATGGCCTCGAAGATGGATTCGGCAGCCGTGATGTAACAGTCACGAGCTGCGTTGGTGTAGACATTGGGTTCTGACTTTAGTCTTACAAAGCTAAGCCTTTGTAGTACTTCAGCCAGGTTGTCCTGCCATGCTTTAGGCGAGCTGCGTAGTCCACACATGGCTTTCTTTAGCCGGCATAGTTTGTTCTGTAGTGGATGAAGTTCTTTAGGTGGCCAGAGGTAGATGTAGCGTTGTTTGCCGTTGTGGTTTTTTGCGCGAATTCGTCTAGAAATGCCGTAGAGACGTCGCCTAGTTGAGCGATTGAGTTGGTCGTGACATCTGCAGCGCGGGAAGTGTCCGTGGCGTCGTGATCATTGGTGTAGAGGCGTAGACGGAGTCTTCGTCCTCGATCTTCTCTGTGTAGCCTTTTGCGGCGGTTCTACTTCGCCCGCCTCGTCCTTTCTTTCGGTGGGCCAACCTTGTAGGGATTGCATGTTTGATGACGTTGTCGGCAACTGTACTTGTCTACTTCGTCGTAGACGTCATGTAGTTTCATTTGGTTTGATTCGTGCTCCATTCTGTGCTTCGTCGTAACCTTCGAACATTCTAATAGGTCTTCAGAATTTTCGCCGTTGTGTAGGAAATGATGATGTTCCGTTGGAAAGTGTTACTGCGTTATTTCTTTGTCGTGGTGGTTTTGGTTCTTTGGTTACTTCTTCCGTTGATCTGATTGTAGTGTCCTTTGGTGTCTTTTGTGCTTTGCTCGGTTGCATTATTTCTTCCGGAGTCATGCGTCGTAGTGTTTGTCGAGGTGGTGCTGGTAGTGGTGGATGTTGCCGTCCGGTCGGTGAAGCAGCCATGGGGCTAGAGGCGACGTAGCGTGTTGTTGTTTCGTTGCGGATTCCGTGACGATGTCGTCCGTCACGTTCGCTTGTTGTCCAGCGTCTTGTGTAGATCCTTTCTGTTCTGACGCTTGGAGTTGCGTGCCCCACAGTGTTGCGAATGACGGGTTGTAGGTTCCATCGTGGCGCCCAAGGTGTGCCTGAAACTTTGTTTAGCAACGCGAGGTCGCATTTGAAGTCCGGTTGTAGCCTCCGTACTGTTCTCAGTACGCCTTGTTCTGTTGCGACGTAGTTTTCTCCGGTTTCGGAAACTTTTCCAAGCCACGTGCATTTCTGCATTCGTAGGTCTGCTTTTGGAAGTTTCTTGTGTTGTGGTGGAAGGTAAAGTAGTGTTTCGCCAAATTCGCAAATTGCTCGCTCGTAGTTTCTTCCCCAGCGGCGTTCGAAGCTTGTGTAGCCGTCGGGGTGGATGGCGTAACGATATACCGTCCAAGCTGCATGTCGTACTACCCAAGGCAGTAGACAGTGCTTTGTGGACATTGTCATGCCGTAGTTGCTTTCGACTTGTGCTTTGACAACGCGTATTTGTCCAAGAAGTGTTCGGTGTAGTCGCTCAACGCTTCCTTGACTGTTGCTACCGCCACACACAGTTGTAGTAACATCAACTGCTGTTAAGACTGGTACGGTCTTTGGGTCTTGTTGTGATTTGATGTAGGCAAAGTCTACTTGAATTGTGGGTTGTCGTGATTGTTGTTTCTTGTAGTTGTCTTGGCGTCCCTCGCCTTGCGCGCAAATTGGACACCAGTTTCTGTATGGTAGGTGTGTCAACCATTGAAATGGTAGTGCTGCGTTGCCTATGACTGTCCAGTCATCTTTG